TTTTATAAGTGTTATATAGTAGTTTTGATACTGTAATACTATAATGGTTACTTATACTTGTGATAGATGTGGTAATAATTTTCCTAAATTATGGAAACTTAGACGTCATCACGAAAGAAAATTTAAGTGTAAGCCAGCACTTAAACTCCAACCACCAAGCCCTGTGTCAGATCATGAAGCAGGTCCTGGTCCAACAACCCAAGCTTACAGAGAAGCGCAAATTACTGAAACTACCAATTAGCAGGCTATAACCCAAGACCAAGAAAAAATGTATGCTCCTGAAGAGCATTTTCAGTCAATTTATGAAACAGAAAATAGTGTTGAAGAAAAAGAGCCACCTTCTGAAAATATAAAATTTCTAGAAAAAAGGTCTGACACAGAAAGGCTACACAAAAGTTTGGATGCTGTAACCTTTTGGGAAGCTACAGTCTTCTCAACCAAAAACTCTGCATATGCTTTTAATAAGCGTCAAGACAATTCAATAGAATATGCAGATGCACCATATTTGCCTCAACTTTTAGGAAGTGCAAGAGGGGCTATCACAAAGGTCTTGAAAAAAGAGTTACAAAAAAAAAGACCAAAAAAAATCTGCACTAGTAGTATCCGCCACCTATGTGAAATATAAATATAAGAGTGGGGATCCTAGTAATATCGAAAACTATAGCGCAAGTTATCACCATCCATATTATAGAGGAAACCAGCATGTGCTTCTTTCAGAAAATGATATAGATGAGTATATAACTAGATCTGCAGGAGAAATCGATAAAAAGATTGAAACATACTTAAAAAAAGAGTCCGGAAAAATTCTTTTAAGATTAGAAATGGTTTTTATTGAGGCTTATACTTATCGTAGGTCCCTTGGTGGTTCATATATTCCTATACCAATGAGGCTAGCCAATACAAAGTGTATCATTAACCCTAATAATTATTTACTTATAGACCCAGAAACAAAAGCATTATCTGAAAAATGTCTTCAAGACGCATTAGCTTGTTATTTTGCTAATAAAGATAGCCATACTTATCATCTTGATCGAATATTTACTAGAAAAGAATATAAACAATACTTAAATATTGTCAAGCTAGATGGGGTTTCCATGCCCACTCCAGTCTGCTCACGTATTTTTAATAAGATAGAGGAGATGAACCCAAATATCTCTATCAATGTTTGGAAGTGAGACGAAGAAACAGCAATCCCTAAGCCACTAATAGTCAGTAGGAATTATAATAGAGAACATATTATTTATCTTATGGCTCTTACAGATTTTACTAAAAATGAAGATGATATGTATAGACAAAAAATTCACTTCCTTTGGATCAAGAATCATAATAGGCTAGTATACAAAGATACAAAGTATCACGGTAAAAAGCATCTTTATAATCGATGCTTTCAAAGCTGGTCCTCAGAAAAATCGCTAGTTTATTACCAAGAACACTGTTTTGGTTTGGGCGAGGCCACTCAAAGAGTTAATTTGCCAGTAAAAGGCGTTAATGACTTTGAAAAGTTCAAGAACTATGGTAAAATGATCAATGCACCATGTGTTATAATAGCAGACTTTGAGGCTAATAACAAAAAATGTGATGAAGCATATGGTGGAAGCATGCGCAAACTTCTGGAACAAAAAGCTAACAGCTTCTGTTATCTAGTTCACTAGATTGATACTGAAGAAGTATGGGGGCCTTTCTTATACAGAGGAGAAAATGCTACACAGGAGTTTGTTCGAAGAATAGATAAAGAATTAATAGAGATAAATAGGGTCTTAGCCATCAAGCATGAGCGAATTAAGACTGAAGAGAATAAGAAAAAATTTGCCAAAGCAAATAGCTGTTGGATTTGCAAAGATAGGTTTGATATAAATATAGATGAAATCAAGCAATTAAAAAACGAAAGAGCTAGTCTTGGAAAAAAGTTAAAAAAATTCAAAAAGGGTTCAACAGAATATAATAATATATTAACAACAATTATTAAAGCAACTAAAACAATTGCTAGTAAAAAAGCTAAGACCAAAAAAGTATGGGACCACTGCCATATCACTGGTAAATTTAGAGGAGCGGTATACAATATCTGTAACCTTAAACTTCAGATTGAGGCATGGAAAACACCTATTCCTATAGTTTTTCATAACTTTCGTGGCTATGATTCTCACTTGGTTTGTGAGTTTGTTGGGTGCTCAGTTAATGCACATCAGATTAAGGTTATAGCTGAGACTTTTGAGCGCTATAAGTCTATGAAAGTAGGTAAGTTCAAGTACATAGACAGTCAGCAGTTTATGAATAATAGCTTGGCCAATCTTACAAAAAATTTGGGTGCCAACCATCCAATCACAAGCCAGCATTACAGAGACTATTTCTCAGAACAAATATCTTTAGTATATCACAAAGGAGTATATCCCTATGAATATATTGATTCTCATAATAGATTCTTAGAAACTAAGCTTCCTCCTATTTATGAATTTCATGAGCATCTTAATGGTAAAATCTCTCAAAAAGATTATGCACATGCGCAGGAAGTCTGGAAAGAGTTTGGATGCAGAAACTTAGGTGAGTACCATGACCTTTATCTTAAAACAAACGTACTTAATCTAGCAGATGTTTGGGCGCAATTTCGAAAAACATATATGGAGTATTATGAGGTAGACCCTAGTCACTATGTTTCTGCAGCAGCATTGGCTTGGGACGCCATGCTCAAAATGACAGGAATGAATATACAATTATTTACTGATATGGCAAAGCATAACTTTATTAAAAAAGCTAAGCGTGGTGGCATAGCCATGGCCTGCCAAAGATATTTAACAGCCAATAACCCTAAGATGGAAGAAGCATATGATTCAACTAAATCAACAATCTGGATTTCATATGTTGACGCAACAAATCTCTATGGTTGGGCAATGAGTCAGTACTTACCTATTGGGGGGTATGAATGGGTGGCAAGCCGAGAATATTTAATTAATAACCCTGATAAACAAAAGAAATATCTTGAAAATATTTTCAAAACTAAAGCGGACGCCAAGCAGGATTATTACTTAAATATTAAGGCGCATTTTTCTATAAAGACTCATGACTATTTGAGTAATTTGCCACCAGCTGTAGAAACTATTGTGGTAAAAAGAAATTGGTTATGTCCTTATACTACTAAGCTTGTAAATACCTTGGATGGCAGACACTTTCTAGAAACAGAAAAATTAATTCCCCATCTTGGGCCATGAAAAGACTACGTAATCCATTATCAGGAGCTTCAATATTATATAAAGCTAGGAATGGTTGTTGACGAAGTTACAGAGATCCTATCATTTGACCAAAGTAATTGGCTTGAACCTTATATTTCATTTAATACGGAGAAACGAAATGAAGCTAAAAAAGCTGGTAATACCTTTCTGAGTGACTTCTTTAAGCTTATGAACAATTCTGTATATGGCAAAACTATGGAGAATGTTCGTAAATACCAGGATGTTAAGCTTATGGCTATAAATAATGAACAAGATGAAAAGAAGTTTATTAAACAAGTTCGCAAGCCCTCTTTTAAGTATGCTCAACTACTTGGAAATACTTTAGTAGGGGCGCATATGGGAAAAGCTAGTGTAATTCTCAACAAGCCTATCATAGTTGATGCATCTGTTTTGGGACTTAGCAAGCTTCTTATGTATCGCTTCTGGTATGGGTATATAAAAGAAAAATATAGAGATAAAGCTCATCTTGGTTATATAGACACAGATTCATTCATATACCATGTTGAGACTGAGGATATATATAAGGATATGAATGAGCACCCCGATCTCTTTAACCTCAATGGAAACCCAACTATTGGAAAATTCAAGGATGAGACTTCTAATAATATTATTACAGAGTCTATTCATATTCGGGCGAAATCATATTACTATGTCTTGACAGATAAGTCTATTCTGTCTAAGCACAAGGGAGTTAGTAAGAAGAGCATGAGGGAAATGGCTGAGAAAAAATATCCAGAAAGTAAATCTCCAATGATTCAGGTATATAGAGACTGTCTCTTTAATAAAGAAGTATTCTATGCTAAGAATATAGGCATTCGATCAAAAGATCATA